ATAATAATAATAATAATAAATAATGCATGAACATAATATTATTATTATTATTATAAGATATCTTGACCGTGATCATGACAAAAGAAATTATTTATCTTTATTTTTTCATGCATATAATAGTAATTATGTTAATTAAATGATTACAATTAATAATTTTATAATATGATTTATAGTTTAAGATTATCAGACATAGCTCTACGTTATTACTTCATGAAAACACAATATTATTTTACAAATATACAAAAATATAATAAACAAAATAGTCAAAGTATCAGATGACTTAACTCATCGTTATTTTTTATTAAAACACAATATTACATTCCAAATTTACAATAATACAATGTACAAAATACAATAGGTAAGTACTACAGTACCAAACAGCACCACTCATTAAGACATAATTGTTGGTCATTTATACAATATTATACTCACACAGGAACTATACTCATATAAGAACTAAACCTAAACTAATATAAGTTTGTCAAATTTTAAAATAAATGCATACAAATAATATTATGGTTTAGCATACATTGCATTATTATGCTTCGATAACAAACTTTCAGAAATTTCATAATCATAACAATTTTAGTTTCTTATTTTGTTCATGAATTATTTGGTGTGTAATAAACCACATAAAGTTTCAGTGGATAACCTATTCCTTGTTTTGGTTTTGTTCAGGTTAATTACACTAAATATCCGTTCTACACATGCACTGCTATGTGGAAGGCTCAATAACAATTTAACAAAATTGTACAATTCGGGAAAAAGTAAGTTGTTGTCACCCCTTTTAACTTTTAAATTAGTTTCCCAAAAAGCTACATGATCTACAATATTTAAATGTGATTTATAGTCACTATTTTGAAACAGTCGCCATTCTCTGTCCAATTCATTTATATTTTTAACAAATGATCCAAAGTAATTTGCAACGGGACCCAACGATTGAACTTTAAAAATATTATTTGGATCAAAGAAATTTAATTCCTTCAACGCTAGTACTTCATTACTATTAAATGGGAACCGTTGATGGAATTGCTTAAGCAATTCACAGTAAAAATTTAAACAGTTGGTTTGAAATATTTTTTTATCGCTGTCATTTAAAATTTTTTTTTGAAAAGCTATTACCACTTTAGGACCAAAATACAAAGAATCCGTTGGTAAAAAATTAATAGGGTTACGAAATTGTAATTTTGAAATTTCAATTGAATTTAATATATCAGGTTTAATGTAGCAACTTAAAACAAATTTGTATGATGATTCCATTCGAGAATATAATAAAAATAACTTAGGGTTCTGTGACTGATATTCTTTGTTTAAATCAATTATAACTGGAAGAATAAAATGGAGAAATTCTAAATAAAGCTCATTTACCGGATTGTTTAGTTGAACATATATTTGTCTAGCCTTATCATTGTTCAATGTGTCGTTTTCAAAATCTTGAAGTCTGAAATATGATTTTAAGGCTTCATATTGTTCTAGCACACGACTAACTACTGCTTCCAATGACAACCATCTCGTTTGTGACTGCTGCAACATTTTGTGTGGTTTCAGGTCATGAAATTTCTGGAATTCTTGAAATTCTTTTTGTCTTTTAAAACTCTGGTTCATGAAGTTATAAATACTTCTAACTAATTTTTCTACAACATCTGGAAGTTTTAGGCATGCATAGTTACAACAAAGTGCCAGAGAATGACAGATACATTTCATGACAAAAATATTAGGAATATCTTTAGCCAGTAATGTTCTAAGTGAGTTGTTATTTCCCATCATTGCATTAGCCCCATCGGATGCAAAACCAATCAAGTTATCAATGTATGGTACTTGATACTTTATAAAAAAATGTGTTACAGCGTCATACATACACTGAGCAGTAGCGCTGTGAATTGGAATCAGTTGTAAAAAATAATCTTTCACCGTCCATTCATAATTAATTCTTACAACAAGTGCCAAATGTTTTATTGAGCTGACATCAGTAGATTCATCAACTAGAAGTGAAAATTTTTGGGTCTTTATTAAATTAATTACAGTTTCAAATCCAGTTGCCCCGATTACATTATTAATTAAAGCTGTGGCCTTAGTACGATGGCAAGTAACTTTGTTTAACACTTCTGGTTCCAATTTGATACTTTTTATAAGTTCAACTAGGAGGTCTGTAGCACTTATTGGAATATTATGCTCAGCAATAAATGAAGCTACTCTTATTTCGGTACTTTTAATTGCCTTTTCTGTGTCATAACATTTTTTTTTAGATGCCAATGTATAAACTGATGGTGCCTTTTTTGCAGTCACATATCTTTCATGTATAGAAGAGTAGCTATGTTTTTTTACAGCAGCTATACCACCTTTACAATCTTTATTACACGCATTGCATTTAAAATAGGTAGAACCTTTCACACTTGGACCAAGCCATCCACAAAATTCTTTATTTTTCTCCCAACTCACTTTATAATTCTGAGCATAACTCATTTTTTGTGAAGGTCTTGTCTTGGTTAGTTTTTTCTCTTCTTCAGTGTCATAATCAGATGAACTATTGTTAGACCTAGACAATATATTTAAGAATACATTTGAATAACTCAAAAATCTAAATAAAGGTTTTTTGTAAATAAATACTTACATTATTTCAATACTGAATTCAACTACTAACCACGTATATTAAAAATATTATATAAATATTAAATATTTAGTCAATATTACTTAAAAACAGGTGTACTGCAGTCTGCAGTGCATATGATACAGTATATGACCACATTTATTTCTAAACGCCGGAAATTAAGGGTAAATACAAAATAATAAATCTAAAAATAATGACAGTTACAGATAATTTGTTGTGTTGAGTATAATTCTATAAAACAACTGATAGGAAAAATTGTTTTCAACTATTCATATCTAGGTATAGCATGGTTTTATGTGCAGTAATAGTAACACATAATAATAATAATAATAAAATATAAATTTAAAATATAATAATAAAAAATGTAGGAACTAAGATTATGTGCAATGAATTATATATGTTTAATAATATAAGATTTAAATATTATTTAAATTTATGCGGGAAATATTGTTATATTATCATATCATTATCATAGATAAAATTTGGAAAATTATACGATACTGTGATTATGATATCTGTGTTCTCGTGTAGACAGTGATTAGTATTATCTTTATTTGTGATAACGACAATTTTGTAAATATAAAAATGTAAAATAAATTATGAAAAATCACTAGATTTCATATAATTTCCAAAGTTTTTCACCAATCACCAGAATGTTTTGAAAATCACCATATCTGGAGAAAAATCACCAAACCTGGCAACACTGCTAGCCCGTCCAGCACCAATGTTGTAAAGAGTAATATGCATTTGTAGAGTATAATAATCAAAAAGAATGTTTGTGGGGCTGTTAAGGTAGGCAAGGTAAGGCAACTACCTGCAGGGTCTTTTCAGTTTTGTATTCATACTCAAAGACGGGGACCCTAGATAGGTATGTCCAGATGTCCTTACAAGGGGCTAAGTAACAATTGGGGCCAAGTAATGCTAACGTAGTTCGGCACCTTTGTGACGGTTCAACCGAAAAAAAAAGATGTCCTTACAAAAAATATCCATAATATAACATAATATAACGTTTGAAATGTTTGAATATCCCTCGATTTTTTCTCTTCATAATTTATACAGTGGTACAAACATAATAATGCTACTGACAATTTGTTTTTATTATTTGATCACTATGAAGCTCCCCCATTTCATTGCTTCACTTGCAAATACTAATAGCCACCACTTGCATTACTCACATATTCTTGTTCTATAAATAAAAATAATAATGCATTGAGCCTTTCTTGTGCCATTGTGCTTCTTAATTTGGTTTTTACTATTGACTTTTTTGAAAAACTTCTTTCGCATCCACAACTGGTCACTGGTATAACCACAAAATATGTTGGACAGTTATAAAATGTCTTGAAAGTATCGGATCTTCCTTCTATTGCTAACCAATCAAGCCACTTATAAACATAATCTGATGATGTTCCTTTTTGTGTGTCCTCAATACTTTTTAAAAGCTTTATCTCTACAAATAGATCTTGTGTTTGAATATTTAGCAAATTCTTTAGTATGTATACACAAGATGAGTTGCAATTCAACTCTAAGTTAATTAACTGTCCAATCACAGTTATTAAATCAGATGTTTCTTGTTTAAATCTATCATCAATTCCAGATAATAACACATCTAATAATGGAAAAACAACAGTTAATTTCATTTCTTCACTCTTTGTAAGATAAATATGTTGTGATGTAGAACACTGCATATCATCTCTCTTTTTTGAAACTTTTCTATTTTTTACAGTAGGTATTTCAATATTATTTTCACTACACATTTGTTCTGTATTCAAAAATATAGACTGCATTTCTTGAGGCGAATTCCTTAATGAGTTTAATGAAGATCTTAAGGCATGTATAAGTGAAACAGCAGTAAAAAGTTCTAAGTTCGAAGCTTGTAAAGATGAACTTACTTTTAGTATCAATTGTAAAATTGGTTACATTAAATTTAAACAATAAACAAACTCAATGGTTTTAAGTTAATATAGAAGTCCACGACATTTAGCTATAGCTTCAGGTATCAAACATTTGAAATTTATTTCTTTTAACATACATAATAAAGCTTTGTAATTGTTTTTCACTGCATTCACTGCATCAGCCCACCTAGTTTGTGACATTGATTTTGTAACAATCTGACTACGCTCTTTTGATGGTGTTGAGAATAAATGAACAAGAGTTTGGTTTTTCTTTATAATTTGAATACTTTTTATTTAATTAATACAAAACACAATAAATTTACTAAGTCCAAAATGACTATTTTAAATAATGAAGACTAGCTAGATGTGACTTTCATATCCTAGCTCCTAGCTCTTCGTTGGTGTTGGTCCGTCTAGCTCGGTGTTGCTGGTCCGTCTGCCGAAGCCTATTCGAGCGACGTTTTTATAATGGTGATCCTTGGATCATATCCCTGCCTATTATCCTACTACTTTACCATATAAGGTCATTCCGTGGGCGACCACGCGCTGCACACGCCGGATGTCCCTTGCTTATCTGGTCGTTGTCATCTCTACAGAGTCAACACAACACTTTTAGTGTGAACTATTTTAATAATATTCATATAAGTAGTTATATATCTATGAACATATACGTTTCGAGGCCACGCGCAATAGAAGAAGTACAGAAATACCACAGAAGTCAACTAACGCAAGTCACAAAAAGTAAATTTTTCAGGAGAGGCAAAACAAAGTTTTTAACATGGATTTTTGGTCAAATTGTTTTTCTGTGTCTTCATTTTTTGAAAATGTTTCAATCAGAATTTTTTATAAATACTAATAGAATATATTTAATTTTATTGAATCATTTTTAAATTCATTAACACATTTTATATAACTTTTTTTTAATTCAATATTGAAAACTTAATAAACTAAAATAATTTTTCCTCAGATTAAAAAACATAATTATTACATAACAATATAAAAGTAATAAGTACATAAAATAATATTATTATATAACGTCATAAGAACACAATTTAATCAAAATTAAAATTTATGTTATAGGTTATACTTGAAAATAAATAGGAAACTTTTTTTATAAAATAACATAGTAATAGAGTAATAACAAGTAATAATAACTGACTAGTTTTATTCTGGGTAATCAGCAATTTTATCATCACATTTCATGTTTGTATAAAAGTCATGGAATATTCTTGGCACCCACTTAAGAGCTGTTTGCAAATCTTGGTATTTTAATTTACTTATAGGCTTAGGCTCACTTGCAACTTGTGGTAATTGTTCTGGCCAAACTGAACTTCTGGTGGTTCTGTTTAGGGACACTGTTTTATATTCTTTTTCAGCAAAGTCTGTTTTAAACATTAATAGTCCTTCCTTTTCTTTTTCTAAACGCAAATGAACAATTTCAGATATCTTTACTTCTTTTCTTCTATATATTAATGGAGAATTTTTAGAATTGTATAGACATTGAAAATCCAAAAAATCTTCCAGTTCCATATTTATTACCTTAAAAGGGTTTTTGTTTTTGCAAGACCTAATAAATTGTTGCCAATCCCATGGTGTCATTATACTTGAATGTTCAATTTTTTTTTTGCTCTTTCAATAATAGAATGATCACTGTCTACTTCCATGTGGGTGTGACCCCTCAAAAGAAATTTGTGGTTTATTATTTTTAAATTTGTCATTTTTTTCAACAGCCACACATACAAAGTAACTATCATAAAATTTCTATTCTGTCCGGCACAATTATCTGACCATATAGTTAATTCTTCAATAATATCAGATTCGGTTTCTTTTAATTGTAGGGCCCACTTCAACACACACGATGCAATTTCGTTACCACCACGACCACCTTTGGTTTCATCCCAGAGAACACATCGTCGCTTGGCGTGAAAGACCTCCTATGTAAAAAAACCAAGTTTTTCAGGAGAAACGTTTTAGCAGTTTAAAAAATAAGTATTGAATATAAAAATTTCAAAAAATGTTTATATTGTGTAAAATATATTTAGAAATGAAATTGAACTATTATTATTATTATATTGTTTTATCCAAAGGAGATATTAAGCATATTGTTAAGATTTATGCACATAAGAGGTTTTGATAGTATTTTTTTATTCTGAAACACCACATAAGAGGTTTGTTGTTGACACATAGGAGGTTAATAATTGTGTATATATTTTTTTTCTTTACACATAAGAGGTTTTATGTCTATATTATTTCAACTATACAAAGTATAAACTTACTGCTTACTTAATATTATGTATTGTAAAATAGTAATGAATCTTTAAAAATGATATTAATAAACATATTAATTTAATTATATAGATCTATAATATAATATTATTTATAGTCAGGTTAACTAATAGTTTAAAATTCAATTTTATAATACCTAAAAAGAAACATACCTACCTCAATATGCATCAATAACTAACTAATAGCATTCTATAAATTATAGAAACCTTAGACCAAATTTGACCCTGGCTAAATGTTCTGTAATACCTAATAAAGATACAGGAAACTAAAAATGTAGTTAGGAATAAATATTAAATACATGGTTATTAAATTGATATTATAATAATTAATAATAATACAAAATAACAAACTTTTTCTGTTTTTTGAAAAACCACATTATAAAATAAAAATAAAAAGTAACAGTTAAATACATAATTTTTGGTTAAAAACTTAAAACTTATAATAATAATGCACATAGGTACTTATGTTTAAATATTTTATCAGTCGTTGTCATTAAAAATGTTAACAATTTTAAACTAAAAATGTAATAATAATAATAAGTAGGTATAACAAACTTTTTTCAGTATTTCTGTTTCTTGAAATCATATAATACAATTAAAATAAAAAGTTAAAAGGAACATAGTACATTTAAAAATCACCATTATGTCAAGATACAATAAATTATTTGGTTTTTCTGCCAAGTTCCGTGTATTTTAAATTGTCATAAAATGAGTGGTGATCTTTCTCTATGACCTTAAAAATAAATTGTTAATGGTTAATGTGCATCAATAAAACGTATAATCTAATAATGTTGTCTAGTTAAATTGTAGCTACTAAAATGAGCATTAATATTAAATTATGTACATAAATATTGAATTGTAATACCTTTTTAAGAGATTGCAAATCATCATATTTTGCCTTTGTTATTGGTAATGGAGCTGAGTACAAATTAGGTACATCGGACAATAGTTTTATTTGAACATTTTCTTCAATTGTGGTGGCTGCTGTTTTTGATCTAGTACTTTTTGTATAGGTAGTTACTTGATTTTTAGTTGTTATTGGTAGATTTTCCCAGTTATCATTAGTGTTGGTTTTATATAGAATATTTTGAGATGATGGACTGTATTTTAATTGACACAAATATGTAACTACCTTATCTCCAGTTTTTTTACCTGGACGTAATGAAGTTATGTCACACATTGCATCATAATTTTTAAAAAAGCTGTAGTCTAACACTTTAATATTATATGGTTGACTGGGTCTAGCCATTCGCATTCTGGTGATGTAGTCTGATGGAGAGTAGAGTGGAGGTTTAAAATAATGTTCTAAAGTTGAATGAACGCTGTCTACCTCCATCATTGTGTGACCTTTACATAAAAATAATTGCTCAATATCAACATTTTTTTCTTTTGACAACAATCTTAAAGCACTGGCTAAGCTTTTGTTTCGGTTTTGATAGTTACAACCGTCAGATATAAGAGTAACTTGTTCTACATCTTGGTTTAAATTCATTATAAAATCTACAATACATGATATGAATTCATTAGCAGTTACTCCTCCATTGGCTTCATGACACACATATAATGTAAC